ATTTTTAAAAATAACCTTGCAATCAGGATATTGTATCAGTCGATAAAAAAGAAGAAACCCCTACAGTATGAAGAGATATACAAAGGACTAAAATATACAGCTCTGTTAACAGACAACTTGAAATAGGGAGGTTGTTTTCATTTAGAAATGCTAAATTTTCTTGAAACAGAACAAAATACAGTGCTCTAAATATGCATAATTATGAAAATAAAGAAGAGCATCTGAACACTTACACTATTAGCATAGCAGACTCCATTGCTCCTATTTAACAGCCTTACTAACACAGGCCTACTCCCTTTCCAAGCTTAAACGACAGTCTCCTCTCCGGAATACCAGTGAAGCATAACTTTACATAGTTTATTTTGAAAGTTACCATCTACAGAGATATTAACACCTTGTCAACCTATTCTTCCCAACCATTCTTCACATGTACTTCTGCTGGAATGAATTTCCTTGGCTCGCAGGATAAGGTTATGCTATAGAAACTTCTCCCCAAAGCCACAGGTTCCCTTCTATGACCTATCCCTGCTACTCTTATCTCCTCTTCCCCACACTGAAATTCACCCTACCCCCAAAAAAAATAGTGCAGTGCAATGTAGCCTTGCTAGAAAAGGGTTTTGATGGGTGTCCCAGGAGGCATGCTTTTTAAAAAGCTAACTCTGAACACCAGAGGTAATGGAAATGTTTTTGCATTTCATTTTGTGCTTTCATTAGGTCAAAAAGGTGTGCTCTGAGTACTTAATTTTTTGTTATGTGTATGGGTTTTTTTAAAAAAATATTCAGATGCTCTGGGATATAATGGGAGTGAACAAAGTGAGGGTCAGAAGGGAAAGAGATGCAAGCTGGGGCCCGTGATTTGGCTAAGCTTCCAGCCCTCCTCCTGGCTCATTCTTTCACAGGAACTAACTATTGCTTCCTCAGCACTGTTACAGGGACAGCTCTGCAAAGGCTGTGACCCTGGTCATAGTCCACCTGCAACACCCCTGCTCTGTAAAACCATCCCAAGGGCTCTTACTACACAGAAATTCTTTAGCCCTCAAGGTCACTGAAACTTCCTTAGAGTAGTTTAGAGTAGATGATGAAGGTTTGGCATCTATTAAATGATTATTATTAGCACAATGTTCTGAGTTTCATGTATAAATATTGATTGGCACATGGGCCCTAGCCCTGGATGTGTCAGCCCATCTGCACCATTATTAGGTCAGCGTTAATCCCATCTCTTCCCTTGGAGCCCTGGAGGGAAGAGCTGCTTCATCCGGGTCTCCAAGGCCTGGCCCTCAGGGGAGGTGTTGCTTTGGCTCTTCCCCTTGCTACCATCGCCACTGCAGTTGCTGAGGCCTTGATTGCTGTTGGCTTTCTCACCAGTTCTGTCCTCTGCCCCTCCTGCCTTGTCTTATTCTCCCTCACGTTCTGGGAGGAGAACTGCTGCGTTCACTTCGAGGACCCTGCACTGGGAACATCATCCCAAACTCTGACAGGGACACTGGGCTGGGCAGATCCAGGCTGCCAGGCCTTGTGACTGCAGGGAACTGGTCGGGCATTTCAGATGCGCTCCTTGTTCCTGAACTAAAGCTGGACACAATCTGGGTTTCTGAGTCATCTTCAGACCCAAAGTTGCTACAGAAACAGCATCCGGCTCAGGTTAGCCCTCCACCAGGTTCTCCGCAGAAGTGCTGCTGCCTTGAGCCCCCCACGTGCTGCAGTGTGTCTGCTCTTGGATCTAGCCCGAGATGCTCTGCAGATTCTTCAGGGCTGCCTTGTACTCGCCCTTGGCCAGAGCCAGATCATCCACAGGCTCAAGCTGCATATAGTACTTTCCCTTGAGTTCAAAATCAGGTTTGGACTTGCTGATGGCCCTCTTTTGAGTTTCTCCTCCTGTTGTCGCATGAGGCCTATGGCAGTATCCTACCTGGCTGCAGTCTCCTTCTGCTCCAGCTCACTTCTCCTCTTGGTCCTCCAAGATTCACCAGCTCCTGCCAGGAAGAGTGGCACTTGTCATCCTCCAGCAGCTGCTAGGTCAGGGAGGTGGTCTCTTTGGCAACACAGAACACCTCTGTGGCCCTCTTGAAATCCTGTGTGGCTTCTGAGCTTCCAGCTGAGGCCACCGCCACCCTCCACGCCTCCCAGTACAGCTTCCAATTTTCTTCACCAGTTCATGCAGTTTCACCATTTCCTCAACCAGAACTGAGCTGAACTGTGAGGAGCATCCTCAAGTTTCGTTTCCTTTGTGTTGATATCACCTGTGGATCAATTAAACTTCTCCACTTCTCCCTGTATCCAGGGTCCACCTCTCCCTCCTCTTCCAGCCTCTGCTCCATTCCCTCCTCCTCCCTCCCGTTCCCCCCACGCCCTTCCCTTTCCCCCTCTTCTCCTCCATCTCCTCCCTGTGGCTCCCCTTTCAGAGGCCTCATCCTCACAGGCAGCGGGGATGCTCTGCAGCTTTGACAACCAACCAGCAATCGGTGCTCCAATTGCTCAGTAGCTTGGTACCCTGAAGGGGTCGCTGCTGCCATAGGCTCTGCTGGAGCCTCCTTCCCACAGCCTGGCACAGTAGGGGAACCGCTCTGGCTGGCACCTGAGAGGCACCGCTCACCAATCAACTTAGGATTTTTTGACTTTACATTGATGCAGAGTGATCCACATTCAGTAAAAACCGTACTTTGAATTTGGATTCTTTCCTGGGCTGGTGAGAGTACGATGTTGTCTCACAATGCTGGGCAGAGGCAGCAAGTCCTGCTCCCAGTCAGCCTCGGGATCCTGAGGGGAAACCATCAACCCTCTACAGTGGGCTGTGACCTGCGACAGTGATGTTGAGCAAGGGTGTGTGGTAGGTCCCTGCACTGAGTACGTTTGACTTTCAGTATTTTCTGATGGGTTTATTATAATGTAGCCCCATGTAAGCTGAGAAGCATAGGCCCAGGCAGGTTCCATCGACAACCACATGCAATAGTGTTGTATTGCAGAGAGAGCAACAGCGGGATGTCAGTCATTTGGGATGGATAGAACTATTGTTCTAGTGTTTCTTTTTTTTAATATTTATTTTTTAGTTTTCGGCGGACACAACATCTTTATTTGTATGTGGTGCTGAGGATCGAACCCAGGCTGCATGCATGCCAGGCGAGCGCACTACCGCTTCAGCCACATCCCCAGCCCAGTTCTACTGTTTCTTTCTGAACCATGTGACACTGTGGTGTCTCCCAAAAGAACAGACAGAGGGTACATCTCCACCTTACTGATTTAAGTCATGGCCTTCAGACTTGCTCAGACCAATAGAATAAGGTGGAGGACTTGATATGAGCATGTGCCAGACCTGGCCTTCCATGCCACGCTCTTCCTTTTGTGGTTCTATCATTTGCCATGAGAAGAACATGGCTCTGTTGGATCCTGAAAGGAGACCCACAGCGAGGAATCTAAACCCAACCGAAAGCCTGGACCAAGGTTAGCCAAGACCAAGGGAAAGTCAAAACCCACCTGCAAAGTCATGAATGCTTGTCTCATAGCCACTGAGATGTGTAGGTTGCTGGCTACCCCGTGGAACTGACAATGCACCCCTCTGGATTAGAGGGGACAAGGAGAGGTAGGTTCCTGGACTGGACTGTCTGGCAGTTTTGTAAAAGTGGTGACTTGTTGTACAATGATACATGAAGCTGGCTTTCCAAATACCCATCACATACTAAGATGTTTATTCCCTACCTATTTTATAATTTCTGTGAGGAAAAAATAAAACCTTCATAATTGCTACCAAAAGAGAGGTGGGATGCAGTGCCTAGGAGCAGCTCTTTGGGTCATTACCTTGAGGATTTCCAACTCTCAGTTAGCTTGACTTCTCTCTGTTCCCATTTCTACCAGGACATTTAAATTCAGAGAGCCACATTGCCTGCCCCAGAAGGCTGCCTCTTGGTAAAGACTAATGTTGGTGTCCCTTTTAGTGTCTCCTGGGATTTCATCACACAAATACTTTTGGGCCATCATTTCTTCTTAAAGGGTAGGCTGATTGGCACCCCCCATAACAGCAGTTCTGTGTCAATACTGACACCTATGATTTAAACAGCTGTCCCACTCCAGGCTTGTGGTTAGGATCAAAATGTTACATAGTCATCCATGCATGCAATATAACAATATACTTTGGCCAATATTCCTACCCCTTGGTCCCTTTTCTCTACTGTTCTTTCTTTGATTTCCATGAGATCCACCCCACCTATCTTTCCCTTTTTCTTCTCTATCTCCCACATATGAGAGAAAACATACATCCCATATTTGTGCATCTAAGTTCTTTGGGGATGTTGGTGTGTAGGTTTTTTCCTTGATGTGTCCTTATTTGGTTTTGGTATGTGTGCAATACTGGCTTTATAAATTTTATAAATTTCATGGAGTAATTTGAGGAATTTTGGCATCACTTCTTCTTTAAAGGTTTTTGGTGGACCTCAGCTGGGAGTCCATCCAGCCCTGGGTTTTTCTTTGTTAGAGACAATAATGAAAAGCCTTCCATCTTATTTCATGTTATTGGTTTGTTTAGGTTTCCTTTTTCTACAGTTTTGGTAGATCCTATTTATCTAGCTATGTATTCATTTCTTCCAGGTTTTCCAATGTATTGGAGTACAAGTTTTCAAAATAGTCTCTAATGATCTTCTGGATTTCTGTGATATCTATGGTGATTTTACCTATTTAATCTCTAATTTTATAAACTTGGCCTTTCTCCCCTTTTCTCTTGGTTATGTTAGCATGGAGGCTTATCAACCTTGTTTACCTTTTCAAAGAAACACTGTTTCATTGATCCTTTGGTTGTTATTTTTTATTCTCAAGTTCATTAATGTTGGCTCTGATCTTATTTCCTTCCTTCCTTCAGTGTTTGTTCCTCCACCATAGCCTGGATTTTACACCATTTCCCATTTACACGGTGCACGATGTGGGCTTCCTCAGTAGAGGGTGCTGAAGTGACACTGCAGGAAGCAGAGGCCTCTTGTGGTTAAGCTACTGCACCATTGCTCTGTGATGCTGGTATGAGTCCAGGTGAGGGCAGCGTGGATCAGGTGAGGAGATCCTCAGATCCTGAGGAAGGCTTTGGTCTCCAGGAAAATTTCCCAACACTTTCCAAGCTGATCTTATGTGATGGTGCCCTCCTAGTGTATGGTCCAACTGTGGTGGCACTGGCTCCGAGTTCAGAACTTGGCAGTCCCTGGCCCCACTCATGCCCCACCTTCCTATGGTGGAAGAGCTGAAACACATCAGGTCTTTATCTTGGAGGAAAATTTCTAGAATATCAAGGAAAGACCAGCACAAGCCAGTTTTCAAGAGCCCCTGCTTGGCACGAAAGGAAAAGCATGGTTTGTGAAAAGTGGCTCCTAGAGTAAGGCGTAGGCATCCTTCTATTCTAAAGTACCCCATTTGACTTAGGGGTGCAGCTAAGCAAGATCCACCACTGGAGCCTGAGGTCAGAATTTGAGCTGCTGCTTGCTCACTGTATGCACTTGGAAAACCCCTTTCTTGGTTTTCTTCATCTATGACATAAGGACAAGTGGGAGTGGGCTCAATAGGGTCATGCAACCAAAGCCCAAGGACCTCAGCACAGTGCCCAGAACATACCAGGTCCTCAATCTATAGTAATTTTATACTTATTACCATTATTATTTGTGTTAGCTTTTTGGAGCTGTGACCAAAATACTCGACACAAACAACTTAGAGGAGGAAGGTTTTATTTTGTCTGATGATTTTCAGAGGATTCAGTTCATGGTCAGCCTGGTCAACTCAAGGCAGCCAGGAAGAAAAGTGAGAGAAAGAGGAAGTGTCCAAGGACAGGATAAAGCCTTCCAGGGCAGGTGACCAGTGACTACTTCCTCCAACTACATCTGTCTCCCAGCAGGGCATCCACTTATCAATGGATTAATCCATCAAGTGGATTAAGTCAGTGGTGAGGTCAGAGTCCTCATGATCTGATCCCTGCCTAAGAGCCCCACCTCTGAACCTTGGTGCATTGGGGACCACCCTTTCCACATATGAGCTTGGGGGACACTGCAGGTCAGAACCATAGCATCATTTATTTTCTGCTCTCAAGCAAGCATCTCCCATTCTCTAGTCTCCTGTGGACTCAGCACTTCATCTCTGACAGTGGGGATCCCCTCTTCTAGCTTAATAGGCACGTGTCCCAAGTCAGAAAATGTGGATCTTAAAGAGACGGTGCTGTTTACCTGAACGGTAACACACAACTACACTGTCCTTGCCAGGCGGATATTCTCAAGGGTCCCCCCTTTCTGGCCTTTGGACCTATCTTGGTTTTATCCCATTTCCAAGATCTCTAGGCTCCCATGAATGTTGAAAGCAGCCTTCAGGCCCTAAGAGGATCTTGGCCACCAGCCCTGTTGTGCACATCCCACTATGGTTCCCCTTGCTCATGCCACTCCAGGCCAGTGGGTCTACTCTCTGTCACACTCTCAGAGGGCACACTCATACCTCAGGGCCTTTGTGCTTGCTGTTTTTTTTTTTTTACTCAAACTGCTCTACCTCTGGGCCCACCTCCACTGACCACCCTATTTCAGAATACAAACCCCATTTTTGCCCATTTTAAGAATGCAGTTTAGCATTTGCCATGTTTCAAGCATTATGTTAAGTCTTGATATAATAGAGTTCCTTAAAACTGTAGTTAGGAAATAAGAATGACCTTTCTCCCACCTCTCTTCCCAGCACCATTTCTTTTAATATTGTTTAATTATCAATGGATCTTTATTTTTATTTATTTATATGTGGTGCTGAGAATCAAACCCAGTGCCTCACACATGCTAGACAAGTGCTCTACCACTGAGCCAGGACCCCAGCCCCCCAGCACCATTTTTGGCTTTTGCCACACTTTGACATTTTAGTGTTCATGAGGGTTCGAATACAAGATCTTTTTTTAATTAAAAGTTTATTTATTTTGGTTGTAGGTGAACACAATACCTTTATTTTTATGCTGAGGATGGAACCCAGTGCCTCACGCATGCTACGCAAGTGCTCCACCTCTGAGCCACAACCCCAGCCCACAAGATCTTCAAGTACAAGATCTTCCGGCTCCTTTTCAGAGCAGGCCATGTTCACGTCGTGCTCACCCCTGAAGCTGGAGAACCAAGAACTTCCCGAGTCCATACAGCAGACCCACCTGTGCAAATCACTCATGTTGGGGCTATCCGTTAACTTCTGTACCATGCTCTGGTACAGATATTAATGCACATTTTTATATATGCACATTCCCAAATGCCCATGTTTGGAGCCAGGTTTCATTTGAAGGTCACCATAATTTGTATTATATCTTCTGATTCAATGAAAGTTTTCTTTATATGTGTTAATAAAAAATGAAAAAAAAATTTTTTTAAAGAGAGAATGCAGATACAGGCTCAGAAAATGGCAGTGGCAGCCCCACCATCTCTACACAACTTGCTCGCGCCCATCCAGCACCCATCAGACATTCCATGAAGCATGCTTGCCCTCTCGGTCCCACGCAGCAGGTGGACAGTGGCTTTGGGCGTGGGGCGGGCTGGGGCAGGCCAGGGCTGGCTGGTTGGCTCCGCGCACCCTCCTGCCTGCCTCCGGGCTTTACAGAGGGTGTGTTCCAGAGGGCGGGGCCGCAGCGCCATGACGTCACGACCTGGGCGGTCTTTGTCGTTCGCCCCGCCCCGCGCAGCTGCAGCAGCGCACCTAGCCGCGGAGCCGCTGCCGCCACCGCCGCCGCCTTCCCCGTTGCCGCCGCCTGCGACAGGACCTGAGCCGAGAGGACGCTGCGCGAGCCATGGCTGCGGCCCCCGCGGGTAAGGTGGGCGCAGGCGGGAGGGAGGACAGCCCCGGTCTCTCCCACCGCGTGCTCACCCGCGCCCTCCGGCTTGTCCCCCAGGGGCGGAGACCCGGCAGAAGCTGCTGCGCACCGTGAAGAAGGAGGTAGGTGCCCGGCGCCCCTGCGGGAGGGCGCAGCCGCCTGGGGAGTGGGGGGACAGCGGCTCCTGGAGGGATGCTCCTTGGTAGCGGGGGGCCGCCAGCGTTGGAGGTGGGCTCATCGGGGTGGCATCTACCGCCACAGGCCTGTAGGTGTGGCCTGTTAGTTTGGGGGTTGCAGGGCTGGAGGTGTGGGGGTACCTCTGGCGTGTTTGAGCTGTGTGTAGGGGTGGGTGCCATACCTTGAGGTGCCTGGCGAGACCCTGTCCTATGGAGGAACAGGTGTGTGGGTTTCAGTGAGAAAATCATATAGGAGAGACAAGCTCCCTGGGACAGGCAGGCCTATTGGGGCAGGGGACCATAATAAATCGGGCTGCCAAAAGGGGCCCGGCCTTCAGCAAAGGGGAGAGATTCAGTTTGGAAACAAAACAAACTGCACCCCATGTTCCCAGTTTTTGGAGCCACTTCCAGGAGCTGGGAGGCCCCTCCATGATGATCCCAGGTCAGTGTCTGTGGACTGCTCCCTTGGCAGGCAGGGTCTCCTCTTCCCTATCTCCTCACTGACAGACAGGCCTCAGTTCTCCCTCTGCCCTGGGCCAGTTAGCCCAGCCTCTGGATTCATAGCCAGCCACCTCCTGTATGTGCGTCTGTCTGAAGATGTCCAAACGTATTTCTAGGCATTGTATGTATGTGTATCTGTTTGTGTGAACTGTTTTTGTGAGTCTGTGTGATGCTAAGTATGAATAAATAATAAGGATGTGATTGTGTGTGTGTGTGTGTGTTCGTGTGGTGTGTGTATTGCCCTCCTCTTTTCACCACCTGCCCCCCATTACTTAGCCTGGCACCCCTTTGCAGCCATGTTTGCATCTTGTGAGGTGCCAGCTCAAGATCTTGCATGGCTGTAGACCTTATGGGCCAGCCTGGTCCTTGTGTGTGCATGGGAGTGGGTGTACATGTACGTGTGTGTTTATTAGGGGTGGGTGTACATGTACGTGTGTGTTTATTAGGGCTGGCAGCACTGAGCACCACTGAGGAGCCCCTCCCCATGAGAAGGCAGGCAGCCCTCTACGGCAGCCTGGAGGCTGGGACCTGTTGCTGTCCCCAGCTTAGGGGTAGCATGGTTGTGCACACAAGCGCTGGGTGTGTATTTTTCTTTTTCTTTTCTTTTTTTTCTTTTTCTTTTTTTTTTTAAGAATCAGCTCCAGGGCTGGTTGCACATTCTAGTGTTTTTGAATAAGGAAATGTGCAAGATATCTGGAATCCCTCAGAAAGCCCAGAGGTTTTCTGTTCAGTCCTGGTTTGTAAGGAAATGCCAGGTTGGTCCAATTGAGGAGGGCAGAATTGAAAAATGGCAGTCAAGAGAGTGTCAGCAAAGCATCTGGGAGGGCTCAGGTTCTGGTCCCAGATCTGTCACCAGCTCCCTCAGAACCCTGCCCAAGTCCCTTCCCTTCTCTAGGACTCTTTCTTGTATGCAGAAGGAGGCATTTGTCCTGATGTCCCAGTCTAATCCTTGTCATTGTAGCATGGTTTAGAGGGCAGGTTGTGGGGCATGCATTGCCCCAAGTGGCCAGAGATCTGGGCTTCTGTCCTGGGGTCATACAGGTTTGGAGTTGGAATGAGCCTTCTGTGTGGCTATAGGCTGAGGCCAGCTCCTGCTCAGAGGGACCGCTCCTCACCCTACTTGGTGCAACTCGCTAGGTTGTCCAGATCTGTTGAACTCCAGATCTGGAATCACAGTTGCAAATTGATGGTGCTTTCTAAATTCTGCATTGCTGGGGGCCCTTATTCTAGAAATAAGGGTTTCCATTTACCAGTGGACAGTACGTGCCATGCTCTGAGTATACCATAGGCTAATGAGGTAGGTAGGTTGAGTCCACTTCACACACAATCAACTGAGCCTCGAAGGGAGGAATGACTTGCCCAAGAGCATCCAGCGAAGAAGGGGCAGATTCAGGACTTACCGCTGACATCTGTCTGACATCAGAGCCAAGCTCTTACCCACCCCTCATACCATAAATGCTTCCATCGACACCTATATGGTGCCACAACCTTGGAATATGATGGGGACATAGTTTTCAATGTATAAATGGGAATCCTGTGACCTGGAGAGGGTAAGCCATGTTTCAAGGACACAGATCCAGTGGAGGGGAACTGGTTCAAATTTGCTGTCTTTGAGCTCTCTTAGGTTCCCCTAAGAGATTGGTAAAATAAATAAGAATGAATGAATCTGTGTCCCCAAAGCAAACCTCCTCCATTGTTTCCTTCCATTGCTCACCTCCTTGGCAAGGAACATTTCTTCCAGTGTCAGAGAGCCAGTCTTTAGTGGGTTGGACGTCAAAGCTCTTGTTTAGAAATCTGAGTGCCGAATCATCTTTCCTCTCCCTCTTGGGTTCAGAGGAGCCATGTCCTTGACTGTTACAGCCTCACTCTTCTTTTTGGAAGGTGTGTCTTATCAGCTTCCCTAGATAAGCTGGGTAGCTTGCAAGCTTGAGCTGAGCCTCTGCAGCCACTAAGGGCCTGGCACAGTCTATGAGGCTGGAAAATCTGTTCAGTGCTGACCTGAGAAACCATCAGGACCCAGAACCAATGAAACTGGTCAAGAAGGTACATTGGGCTCAACCAGAACTGGGTTCAAGTCCTGGAGGCTTTTTAAATGTTTTTTTTTTTTTTTAATGAGGATTGTGTGTCCAACATGAGCTTGGTTTCATAAACACAGCAGTGAAGCAGACAGACTCAACCCCTGCCCTCCTGGGGCTGGCATTCTCCTGGAATAATTATGAGGATCATTACAGAAGGCACTGGGCACCAACAAAGCATCAGATTGGGCCGGGGGGGGGGCGCAGATAGCAGTATAGCTTAGAGGTAGAGCACTTGCCTGGCATTCAGGAGACCCTGAGTTCTATCACCAACAGAGAGAGAGAGAGAGATATGATCAGGGCATCAGGGACGGCTTCCCTGAGGATGTGATGTACAAGAAGATACATGAAAGCTGAGTAGGCCTTTTAGGTGGAGGAGAGGGAAATCCATTCCACACAGGGAACTGTAGGTGCTGGAAGCTTTGTTGCTGGATGGTGCATGGTGAATTTGAAGGAAGCGAAGTAGCTGGAGCAGAAAGGAAGGAGAACTGTGTAGGCTGCAGAGGAAACAGGGTGTGTGGTCTTAGTCTAAGAGCAAAGGGGAAAGAATGGGGGGCGGGATTCTGGGATTATGGAGGGAAGGAAGGGGGGCTGAGATTGGTGGCTCCTTAGTTGGACCATCTTAGATAAGCACCTATCTATCTTCAGTGTCAGAGTTTGGGTTTATTCACAGTGGGAATGAAAATTACTCACCTGGCAGGATCAGCCAGGTGTGAAAACACCCACCGTGTTCACCTGAGCTTCTCCAGGGCAGGGTTATCGCTTGTCTCTCTTCCCCATGTGCCACGAAGGCAAAGCTGGAGACAGGTGGCCTCAGCATGATTTCCCCTGGTTAAGTCCCACCAGCTCTGTCATGGCTCCTACCTGGCTAGCTTGTCTCCCTGACACCCCTTAATTTTGTTTTGTTTCCCAGAGTGAGCAGGGACTGGCTTCCCGTTGCCTCGACAACTGCCATTAATGGAAGCAGCCATGTGATGCCAGTTGATAACGGAAGCCAAGTGACTAACTGCCTTGTTTTCCTGCCTCTGGCTGGGCTGGGAGGCCTCTTAATTGGAAAGGAGAAGGCAGGGGCTTGTGGGTGGCAGATGAGAGCCAGGGAGGAGGCAGGGAGATGAGGCAGGGCCTACAGGGGAAGGTGCTTTTACATCTGTGAACTGGGGCTGTTGGGAGGCATGTCACTGCAGAGCCATCTGCACAGCTGCCCAGCGGAGTGTGTTTGGGGAAGTGATCCTCCCAGCCCAGGGTGGGGGGCTGGAGGCAGTCCAGGAAGGCTGAGGGTACTTGCTGTTTCCAGGGGAACTCCATGGTTTGACTCCAACCCAGTCTTTCTTCATGAACTAGGGCGGTAGCTTTGTCCTTTCCGCAAAGTTGGGTCACCAGATAATATACAGGTGGCCCATTAAATTTGAATTTCAGAAAAAAACAGTGAATATGTTTTTAGTATGTGTTGCTAAATATGGTGACCCTACCCCAGGGCACTTTTGGCAATGTCTGAAGCATTTTAGTTGTCACAGCTGGGACTTCCCCCAGCATCCAGCAGGAAGAGGCCAGGCATGGAGCTCACAACATCCTGCACTACACAAGACTTTTCCCACCCCAACCACGTCATCCACAGGGAGGATCCAGCCCAGAATGGACATATTGTCCCTTTTCCAAAATGCTGGGCACAAGACATGGTTTTGATTTTTTGGGGGGAGGGGGGGAGATTTTGGAATATTTGCATATACAAAATGAGGTAACTTAGGAATGGGACCCATTTCTACACATGAAATTCATTTATGTGAATGAAAAGCCATTTATGCTGAAGGTAACTTTATACAGGACTCAGTGAACCTGCATTTTGCTGTGAACTGTCACATGAGGTCAGGTGTGGAATTTTCCACTTGTGGCATCACATTCACATCAGAAAAGTTCAGGTTTGGGACTCTTGGATTAGAAATGCTCAAACTGTACTGAAATCTGGGAAAGCTGCTGTCACCTGATGCTGATGGGCCCCCACGCCACCACGCCCCTTCTAGCTACTCCGATGTGCATGTCCTCTTCTTGAGTAACTCATTCTCAATTCTTTTAAATTGTTTCCTATGCATTTTGGGGGTTCAGAGAGTCACCCCTTCTTTGCCCCACTTTGCTCACACTCAGGTGTTTTTAAAGCCTGCCTCAGTTTTCACCTGTAAAGTGGCTCGAGCCACCAGCAAAGCCAAACTTGTGCTAATATCTTTTTAATATTTATTGTTTAGTTGTAGTTTACTTTTATTTATTTATTTTTATGTGGTGCTGAGGTTCGAACCCAGGGCCTCGCATGTGTTAGGTGAGCACTCTACTGCTGAGCCACAACCCCAGCTCACTCTGTGCTAATATTAGCATTGCCTA